AACCCAACCCAAACAACAAAAACAAACCCCAAAAGCCTCTGCTAACAGCAGGTTTGCTTCAAGGTAACACTGCACTTGGTTACTACCTGTGGGCACACTTGAAATCCAGCAACTGACAAGCAGCATCTCCCAGCTAACATTTATCAGTGCGAGAGGAGATGTCTCAGGGACACTTTTCACTTCTAATTTCTTTTCTGAATGCAAAAGCTGAACAGGGGCTGAAGAAGAAGCAAGGCAACTTCACTGTACTCATTTCCACTGGTGTTTGATCTGCAACTGTCACATGCAGTAAACAGCTCTGGGGCTACACAACAATGTACCTACAGAAGTAACTGATTCATTAAGTATGGTTTTAAAAATGCTATATTCCATCTTCTTGCCACATCCACAAAGGCTGACAAAACAGACTGATGCTTCTGAGTTCTCTTTAGAAGAAACAACTAGTTAATTGAAGTTTAGACAACTTCAGAAGTGAAGTTGTTTGAATTTCCAGCACCGAATGCTTCACAGTGCCTTCTAGAAGTGTTCCTATGAAAATGTTGGGCTTCTCCAAGTTCTTCCAGACTAAGTAATGGTAATGTAAAACACATGAGAAAATATTTCTAGATAATCAGAATAAAAAACTTTGCCTTTCCAACTTCCCTCTTTCATCATCAGGAAGATGACAAGACTGACAGGAAAGCTGCAGGCAGGAGGCAGTCTGATTTTAGCTACATTCAGGTGAGGTACCAGGTGAAAAGAAGTCAAAGGAAAAAAGGTAAAGTTCTATGTGCCTAAATTTATTTTACCACTTTCTTCTTTAAGGCTCCCTTTCTTTGCTTTCTAACACAAGCAGTGTAGCAACTGAAAGCACTGCATATGCCAATGGGAAATGCAGAACTGTAGCATAAAATTGACTATAATTTCATTTTGAGACTCTGCTGCAATAGCAAAGATTTGATAGAATAAAAAAAAGTGTGTTTTTCACTTGATGTGAGTGGCAAATTTAAAAAGAGAAATTATATCCTCTCTTGCCCTCATACATGTAGCCCTAACAAAAAACCAAATGCAGATAGTGTGCAACAGTGGGATCTAAAGAGAGAGTAGTGGACTTGTGTTTTAAAGACCCTCAGAGCAAACCAAAATTTACTGTGAAGCTGAAATTGTGACTATGGTTCCAGGAAATCTGTAACTTGGCATCAAGTTACAAGAAAAAAAGCCTCAAGAACAGGAGCAGATTTTCCACACAGTTTTTTGTTTCTTAAACAGCCTTTTCTATGAGAGGTTACTGTTGCTTTAGTATAATGGATCAATATCAAAGAAGCTGATATTTAATGTTAGCCAGGGGTGGTCAAGAAACATGGCTCTCCTGCCCAGTTTGTATGCAAACCTGTCCACCTGCAGCATCAGACTATCTGCACTGGAAGTACATTAGCAGCTACCCACTGGGGCAGCAAGCCTAGGCAGAAGGGACAGAAAGCCTGTTACAGGAAAGACAGCTAACTTTAGACTAATATTTTTGCTTGCTCTTGGTTTAGTCCCAAAAAGCAGCTCTCCCCTTACTAAGCAGTTCATAGACTAGTATTTCAGGAACTCCCAAGTCTACAAATGCCCTTCCTTCAGTAGAAGTTGAAGGCACCTAGACCACAGAAGCCTTAGAAAAGTTAAATACGTGAAGGATGTTTTCCAGGATAAAGGAAAGCCAGCAAAGAAGGCAGAAGTTAAATTATTACAGTATTAATTATTGCTATCCATCAGTGTCAGAACACTTTTCACAACAAAAAGTCAGGTTTACTCTTAAGAATGCCACAAGGAAATAATTACTTAAGAACCTAGCAAACAAGATAGCAATTTACACTGTATTATCCCATATATGATGTGATACTTGAACTATGTCTTAAGTGACCAACAAGGGCATACTTGATCCTAGAGTGATGGAATTTGATGTTATATAGGGACATTTCCTTTCACCTACATTACAAGAATACTTCAGTGCATAGAGAAGGCCCATGTGTGTCTCAGTTTTCTAGCTACCTTAGATGGTAATTCAAAGTACTGATGGAGCAGG